ATACATTTAGGTACCTGCAAAAATACAAAATACAAAATACAAAATACAAAATTTATAAGAGAATATTGTTAGAACAAAAATACATGTTTAAAATTCTGTGGACATTTTTTTACTCTTCCTTAACGTTCAGACAGACGGTATGACGCCATATGGAGTCATCAATATTGTAGTTACCTCACATCAGACTCGATTTACGAGAAAAAAAATATTTAGGAAACCTTGACACGCTGTTAGATGGTGATGAAGTTACACTATAAATAACTTTTCCCACTAAATATTTTTTCACATAAATCCGACAAATCGGATGAAATATAAGTAGTGAGTGACATAGTGAGTTAGTCATAGTGTGTCATTATTGGCACACCTTTTAAAGCGCAATAACCTTTTTCAAACTGGACTAAACGATTTGAATTTCTTTTCGATCATAGAGGGACTAGTATACTAGACAATGACTAAACTACTTTGTTACAATTCTGCTATTATTTGGAGTGACAAAACAGAATCGAGAGCTCTAGTTTCTTAACTGTTTTATCCGAGACTGTAACGCAAATGAAACAAATTTAAAGTTACTCCGTTCTAAAAGGGGGCGCCAATGATTTTGTAACTTGCCGTAGCTGTGCTCCAAAACACGGTGGAATAATAGCGACTCCATATGGCCCGAAGATCGTTCGATTTCCAAAGCAACAAATTTCCAAATTTGAGCAAGCATTACTACCGCGATGGCAGTCCCTGGTGGCCAGAGTTGCGCACCAGGTCGCAGTGCAGCGGCCTAAAATCGAAGAATCAATTGATCACGGAGAACACGTAGCCCGTGCTCATGAAAACACAATGCGGCCGAGCACTTCGCTCGGCGCATGTTTATTTCATTCGATCGGCGCCCGATTAACGACGGATCGGTCCCCAATCGTCTCAATCAGAAATACCTCCTCGTTTCACAGCAATTACCGTCTCAATGATTAGTGCAAATCAATGCGCTTCGGCGCTTTGTCACCGTCGCCCGCGAATATTCTCGCGCGTAGGACCGAGGCCGTTCTTGATTCCTATTCAAATGAATATTCTGAATGTGGATCTCCCGCGTTCCTCGGGGTTCCTCCTTTTCATTCCGTCGATCACTGTTTACCCAGTGTACACGCCTGTTTGCGTCTTTGTGTACCAACTTGGCAGGCGTTGTCGCCCCCCTGGAGAGTTCGATAAAGTCCCGTTAATTGGAGCTTTCGGCTACCGTTGTAGGCCAAGTATCTTCAACGAGATTTAAGTCCTCCCGCGCCACCGAAGAGACGCCATTTCGAAGCCATCCTCCCCTCCGCCACCTCCCTCTAGCCAACCTACCGAGTCGAAAACTTATTTAAACACGAGCATCCTCGGCGTTGCTCAGAACTCTGCCAAGTACTACAACTGTTCCCCGCCCGACGAATTTTACTTGACTTTATTTAACGATGTGACGAGACCCTTGCGATCCGCGTTAGTCGACTGGCCCACTCCGACTTTCATTTAACAGTAAACCGAGCGAACGTTGGAAGCGATTTGTACCAGGGAGGTCGCGCGAAAGGGTGCGCTCTTCTTTCGTACGCGATAGGCTAAGCGCGTCGATTACTGTGTCCTACTCCCTGGTTACTGTGTCCTTACGATAATATTTTAGTTATGTACGAAAACATCATTATTTAATTTGAGATAGTTGAATTTTTAGGTGAGTAATTAACCCTTTGCACTCGAAATCATTTTAATCATAAATCTAAAATAATTTTTCTGACTTACAATAGCCCCATTTTATACGACAAAGTGCATTTTATTGCATATAAAATTGAGTATCGTGACTCATACAACAGTTACACTTTCAACAATTTTTTATATCTAAACTTTGTTAATTTAAAAATGATCTTGGAACATGATATAACAATTTCAGTGGTGCCTCAGAGTCACCACTCGAGTGCAAAGGGTTAATAATTAATTGATATTAGATAGGTGAATAATCGAAACTTCAACTTATTAAGAAACGCGTTGCTAATAAAGACGAAAATAATACAAAATTGGCTGGTTCGGTGTTCGGTAAACTAGACAGTTTAACGTCTCAGAAAATATTCGAGACGTTTGGTTCAGTTTGAAACAAATTATTCCGTTTCAGGAGGCGTTAGAGTAGAGTTGCGTTTGGATGGTAAAAATCAAGTACAATTATTAATTGTATAGAAACGGAATTGACACTTAAGAAATCGTAAAGTAGCACATAGTAATATTAAATAGTAACAAATAGCAATATATTAAGAATATTAAATATTAAAAATATAGAACATTAAATTATTTAATAATTAAATAGAATATTAAATATTAAAATTAGTATTAAATATCAATAAAACATAGAAATATTTAAAAGGGTAAATGCATAAAATCCGCAGTCAAACGATTGCATTCTCGATTACGAAATTCTTTAAAATTTTCCTCCCCCTCGATCGTATCCAAAGAAGATTCATGCAGCTAAATTACAAAGAAATCGCAAACAAATAAGACGCCTTGTAAAAACTGTAAGAAAATCAACGCCTCGTGATTCATCTTTGCACGGTCGGTTCTTCCATTGTTCTTTTGAATTCTGACACAATTTCTTTCAAGCGTTCTTCAGTTCTCCGCGGGAAGAATTGAACACGAGTTTCTTAGGGAAGCCGAGCATCGTCTCTGTTCGAAACATAAATCACTGTCCAATTTGCTGATCAATTATGCCCTGTACCGTTTTATCCGCGAACTTCTTACCTAAAAGACCCGGTCCGCAGCTAGTTTTTGCGATAAATACTCGTTAAGAACGGGGGTGGAATTTATAGCCGCTCGACATAATGTATTTTTAATAGATTGGACGCTTATTTAAAAAATTGCGCGCAAGCTACGGACAAGTAATGCATCATCACAGGGTTAACGATGCATGGAGAAATTGATTTAAACCCTTCGGATCTGCACAGTCCAATATGGATGTTAAATGATGTGTCACGCGCCGTGCAGGAAACATTAATAACATTTAATCGATAAAATATCATCCTCTTTCTGTTAATAAGTGATTTTCGCGGGCGAGCAGCATATCTAGGCGCAACAATGGAAGTCCCAGCGAATGTTTGAATAAAGTAGCAATTACTTTCTTTTGTTCTCACAATTTCATACGAAACCTGACAATATAGTATCCATTTATTGACTAATTATTAGACTGCGGTTTCTCATTCATTTGTGACTTGTACAGATTTTTAAAATGCAAGACGATTTATCAATTATATGGGTTCAATAGCATTTTTGTCTTTTTTTATAATGAATAATTTTTCAGTTAACGAAGGAAGATTTCCTTTAGTTCTGATTCTCGTAAAATAACATATGAAATTATGAATTTGTGTAAAATTTCGCAGTTTATGAATTATAATATTTAACCATCATTAAAATAAATAGTCACAATTTCAGAGACGATGAAAATAGAAGATTACCATTGCGTGATTGTTCTTTTACCCTGTCGTATTTATTAAGTGGCCGAAATAATGGTAGATTTACCTAACTTTTGTGATATAAGAGCATTATGTTTCACATATTTGCTTCTTGTCTCCGGTGTGTGATTCGTTATAATACATTTAACGGAACACGTAGTTTTTAAAATAATATCATTTTTGTTAACATGATTATTATTTATTATATCGGTGTTACTAATATTTTGAAATTTTATTTTATTGGATAAATAATTGAATAATTTTTTTTAATAAAAAATTGAGTTAAATTGCATAAAATATTGAATAATTTTATTTTATTAAATTTTTATTTTGTTAACAACCTTCATTTATTAATATAGGTTCACTTAATACTTTCGTATTTGTATCTAAAAAATTATCATCAAAATTATTAACATTGTTGTAGTCATTATTCAGTATGCTACTACCTCGAACGTCTCCAGCAAAATTAGTCGAATTTTGTTGTACCATTTTAAGAGGTATGCTAATACTTTTTCTAACTTTTTTTCTACCTTTTTTCTACTCAATGTATGCACTTTAACCTTATCAGATTCTTTGAATATAACACCGTATTTTACGTAACATTGCCGTTTCTTATTACTAGTTAAAATGCATTTAGTGGAACACATAATTTCTTAAACAATATCATTTTTGCTAATACGGTTACTATGTCAATATTATCAAAATTTAGTAATCTGGCTCAAAATATACATACATAGGTTCATTTAATATTTTTGTATTTAAAAAATTAATACAAATTACATATAAAAACTTATTATACATTTATATTTAACAAATTATTATAAAAATTATCTAAAGTGTTGCAGACATTGTGCGTTAAACTATTCCTCCGAACATCTCCAACAAATTCAAGTCATTTAGCCCAGTTTCAAAAAAGTTATACCGTTCCAACCCTCGAACGGCGAACCATTTTCGCAACTGTACTATTGACGATGTTTATAACAATTCTGAATTTTATTTAGCAATTTAAAAACATATGTTTGACTATATTTCTTGCAGACTTATAAGCCTTTCTGTTGTTCCTACCGTAACAGCAATTTATTTCGTTTAATCTCCCGGAAGATGAATAATTATTTGAACTAATTAAATACTCTGTATCAAAATTGCCAGATCCGCTGCCTTGTAGGGGTTAAAAGGTGTGCCAATAGTTTTTCTACCCACCGTATGTACTTTTGCCTTATCAGAACTTCTGTCGAGCTGTTCGCCGCGTTGAGTTCGCGGGCCACTTATTAGCGAAGATTGGCGTTTGCTCGAAGCACACAGAAGGCATTCGTCGATCCCAACCACGCCTAATCGTCCGTCAACGGTACTATTGCTCGACGACCGTTTTTTCCGACGAGCACGAAGCGAGACGAGCAAGATCGTGGGCAGTGTCCAGGATCGTCGCGAACGCAGTGCCTACCGGCGAATATAAAAGGGGCGTATCGGTGCGTAACTGACCAGCAGTGTGTCAAGAGCGTATGTCCGGTCTTGGTGGTCTAGAGGAGTCGATCTCGCGTAACGGGTCACATTCGATCGTCGGCTAGCCGATCCCACTTCGTCGGCCTATAAAAAGATGTCTCAGAAAGGACCGGACGGCAGTGCCGCCTGCGAAAACGACATGTCCACGTCGAAAAGCAGCTCGTTGCTCAGGCTGAACCAGGAGGGCCGTCGCGGATCCGCCGATTGGCAGGACCAGGACACCGATTCCGAGATCAGCGAGACCGATTTCCTCACCAAGGGCGCGTTCCTCTTAACGCCCAGCCATGAGCTCAGCATCGAGAAGGCGGCCACCATTTGCGAGAAGATGAACTTCCGGTGAGTGTTCCCCACAGGGATTGAAAGGCTTCCGAATAGAACCGTTTCGAACTACTGCAGATGATCGGTTCTGACCCGGGAACGTACCGAAGCGATACGCGCTGATTTCACTTGTTGGGTACTTTCGGGAAAAGTAATTCGTAGAATAACATTCGACACGCATTTAACGCTAGAAACTGTCAAACCAGTCAGAGAGACTTTTCTCATATTTTCTTTTACAACACCTGATATTATGAAGCTGTTTCTGCGAGATATTTTTAGGTTACAAATGTATATATATTTTTAGGTTAACTTCTTCATTCGAGTTTATATTATAATGGAAATTGTACGAGGTTTAGATAAATCCAATCTTGTCTTTATCATGAAATAATATTCATTAAATTAGTCACATTTAGAACTCGATAGAGTTCAACTCTTCGCTGATACATTTTCTAGCGAAGCACGTATGTATACAAACGTCAGTCAAAAAATAGCAATACTATTGAGACCGAATAATTTGAAATTATACTTTGAACATTCTAGAACATCGTTTTCTTTGTTAGAACTCGATACTTTCCTTTCAAGTGCACTGAATTCATTGTTAATTTCGCTCTTTTGATGAGAAAAATGTGGGTCATTTTGACCCACGGAGGGTTAAGGGGGTGCAGCAATCCTGTGAATATCCAGTAAATTTTAATGTAAAATTTTTTAAATATGTTTTTATATATTATTTTTTAGAACGGATTTAAATATGTAGAAATGAATTTTGTAAACATATTTTTGACGTAGGAAAAAATTCGGAAAAGTTATCAGAGCGTAAATTGAACGTGTAAACGGAATATCAGCTCAAAAATTTTATTTTTGTAGAAGTTGTTTCATATGTATAAATTTTGTTTCTAATTTTTTGGATAAATACATAAATTTTATAAATTAATTTAATATGATATAACGTCCATCACGTAAAAGTACAGACAGAAAATTAATAATCGAAAATTTATTCAACATTGCAATATTTAAAATCATGAATGTCTTATTTTGTAGACTTTTTCATGACAGTAGGAGATTTTTTATTTATTAAGATATAATTCTATTTCTTCTTCTTTACTATGTTCTTGGAGTTTGACCGAATTAGTTGCATTTTATAAAAAATATCACGATATTTACTTTCGAGTTTTGCAGTATTTTATTTTATAAAGATAAAAATTCTAATGAAATTGTTTAATCTATAAAATTATTGAGCAATAATTTCAATAATCTTAATGACCTAACCAT